GATATTAATAATGATAATGATAATAATAATAACAATAGTAATAATGATAATATGATAATAACAATAATGATAACAATAATGATAATAATAATAATAATAATAATAATAATAATAATAATAATAATAATAATAATAATAATAATAATAATAATATTAAAAGTAATAATAACAATAATGATGATAGTAATCATAATAGTATTAATAATAATGGTGATAATTATGATGATAATATTAATAGTAACAATAATAATGATAATAATAATAGTAACAATAATATTGATAATAATAATAGTAACAGTAATAATGATAATAATAATATTAACAATAATAATGATAATGATAAAAACAGTGATGACGATAATAATAAGAAAAGGAGTGGAATACGAATGATGATAATAATAATATTATCGATAAAGACCCTAATGGTATTGGCGATAAAGATAAAAAAACGATAATGATGAAAATGATAACAACAATATTATAAACATAAGAATCACTGAGGGCATAAAAATAGTGTTAACAACATGACGATGGAGTTAAGGATTCATACAGTTATACGGTATCTTGGTAATACAGTATCTCCCTCAATATGGAATAGAAACTGTAGAACTTTCGCCGAGATATTTTGCAGGATTCTTTTCCAGGCTATTTCTCTCTCTTTCTCTTTCTCTCTCTCTCTCTCTCTCTCTCTCTCTCTCTCTCTCTCTCTCTCTCTCTCTCTCTCTCTCTCTCTCTCTCTCTCTCTCTCCTATTCTTCTCTTCTTTTTCTCTCCCCAAAGCTTTCTGGTCTCTTTTTCTTCCTGAATTCCTCTCGTTCTATGCCTCTCCTCTTTTCTCCTCTTAGATTCTTCTCTTGTTCTTTCTTCCTAATCCCTCCCTCTTCTTCCTCTCCTCAGATCTTTCGCTTCTCCCCCCCACCCTCCTGAATTTCTCTTGTTCCTCTTCTCTCCTCAAATTATCCTCTCGTCCTGCTCCTCTTGAATTCTTGTCTTGGTCCCTCTCCCTAATCCTTCCTTCCTCTTTCTCCCCCCCCCCCCCTATCTTTCTCTAATCTTGTTGTTGTCTCTCCTCTTTCTTCCCGTTCACTCTTTTCTTTCTCTTTCTCTCCTCTTTCTGCCCCTTAATTCCACTCGTTCTCTTTCTCTCCTCTTTCATCCCCTTAATTCCTCTTATGCCCTGTCCACTTTCTTCCCCTGAATTTCTCTCGTCTCTTTCTCTTCTCTTTCACCCCCTTAATTCCTCTCATTCTCTTTTCTCTTTCTTCCTTTGAATCCCTCTCGTTCTATTTCTCTCTTCTTTCTCCCCCTGAATTTCTCTCTCTCTCTTTCTCTCCTCTTTCTTCCCCTTAATTCCTCTCATTCTCTTTCCTCTTTCTCCCCCTTAATTCCTCTCATTCTCTTTCTCTCCCTTCCCCCCCCCCCCCCTTAATTCCTCTCATATTTTTATCCTCTTTCTTCCCTTAAATTTCGTTCTCCCTCTCTCCTCAAATCTTTGTCTCCCTTTCCTCCCCTCGAATCCGCGTCTTTCCTTTTCTCCCCTCTATTTTTTTTTATCTCTTTTCATTCCCCTGGAACCCTGTAACCAACCTGTTGCTATATATCTTTCAACCACTGCTATTTCTGATATTATTTTATCGATTCTGTATCATATTTATGTATATTTCTATATACCCCTTTTTATATGTGTTATAATTTGTATTGGTTATCATATGGTTCATTATCTCTTTTATAATTCTTTTTGTCATATATTTTTCTTGCTACATACATATGTACGTATGACTAGAGCCATTACTTCATGTTTACTTAACATTGCTATCTATTGCATACCACAATTGCTCGCGAATTTTCCCAAGGTCGAGATATCGCTTTTCATTCCCTCCATTTCGTGTACAAGTCTACCAAATACTATCAAATAAGCCACAAATTTCCATAATTATCGATAGATCATTCTTGTAATAAAATGCAAAATCCCCATGATGGTGGGAGCAACGTCTCACTGCTGCAGTATATTCTGCACGCATAACAAGGTTCCCTAATAAAGAGGGCTCTTGCAGAACTTTTGTCTCTCTCCCTAAGCTTGCTATGTTGCAATGCTTTCTTGTCCGCACTCAACTCCGCACTATTACACTGGTGGCAGTAGTAAGTGCAATGACCTCGAGGTGCACCTACTCTCTTTTCTCCTCGTATGCAACAGTCTGCCTCTTCCTGCCTCTTCCCTGCCTCTTCCCTGAATCCTGTTCTTTCTCTCCTATACTCCTTTTCGAATCCTTCTCTCCCCCTTTATTCCTCCAAGTATCCTTTCTTCCTTTTCCCAGATCTTTATTTTCCATATTCTCTCCGTAAATTTAAATCTCCTCCTTTTTCCCCATGGATTCGTCTCTCCTCTTTTTATCTTTATTTTTTTCCCTCAGAACGAACTCCTCTCTCTTTTTCACTTTCTCCCCTAAATCCAAAATTCTTCCTTTCTCCGCTTTCTTCTCGAATCCAGTCTCTCCTCTTTCTCCCTACGAATCGAACTCTCTCTCTATTCCTTTCAAATTCTTCTCTTTTCCTCTCTTTCCTCAGCCCTTTCACTCCTCTCTCTCTCTCTCCCCTAAAATCAAAGTTCTTCCTCTCTCTGTCCTTCCTCCACTTTCCTCTCTCCTCTCTCCTTTCTTCTCTCCTCTGTCTCCCCTCGAATCGAACTCCCTTCTCTTTCTCCCTTCGAATCCCGTTCTCTCCCTTTTTACGTCCCGAATCCAGCTCTCTCTCTCCTCCCCCCCTCGGATCCTGCCTCCCCTTTGTTACCGGGACGACTGACTCCCGGTACCTTGGAAGCAAAAAGTGCCATCCAACAAAGGATTTGCCCGAAGCACTAGTGGCGCTGGCACGGGTGATTAGTCTCTATGGTTTCAACGGTGACAGGAGACCCTTTTGTTGGGGCTGTGGGCGGCCCGCCATGCTCCCCCCCCTCCGCTAGAGCTGTGGGGGTTTGGGTTCCCCCCTTTATTATCCTTCTTTCATTCTTTCTTTCTTGTTTTCTTTGTCTTTGTCTTTGTTTTTGTCATTGTCTCTCTTTCCCCCTTCCCTCCTCTCTCTCTCTCTCTCTCTCTCTCTCTCTCTCTCTCTCTCTCTCTCTCTCTCTCTCTCTCTCTCTCTCTCTCTCTCTCTCTCTCTCTCTTCTTCTCCTTCTTCTTCTCCCCTCGAGTTCTTATCTTCTTTATCTCCTCAAAATTCTCATCTATTTTTTCCCTTTGATTTCTTCTTTCTCTTTCTTCACTCATATCCTATCACTTTCTCTCTCTTCACCTCCTATATCTTCTTCATCTTCTCTCCCCTTATCTCATCCTCCTCACCTCCCTCCCTCTCTCTCTCTCTCTCCTTTACACCTGCTTCTATTCTCTTCCATCTCATTTTCCTACTCACCCTCTTATTCGTCACCTCCCCCCCACACTCACTGCCTCCGCCTTTCTCCCTCTCCCATCTCTTCCTCCTTCCTCCATCTCTTTTTCTCCCCATCGTCTCTTCCTACAATCTTTGTATCCTCTTTCATCTCTCTCATCACCCTCCCTCTTTCCTCTGTTAACTTGAAGCAGTCTTTTCGGCTCCACGGTTTGTTTACATTACCCATGTACATTATCATCGTACGATACACACGCCTCCTGCTGCCCACTTGATGTGTGTAGTGGGTCTGTTTAATAGCATTCATGTCTGATTTGTGTGTATATAAAAGATTAGTTTGATTAAAGGGTATGTACATGTGCACACACACACACACACACACACACACACACACACACACACACGCACACACGCGCACACACACACACACACACACACACACACACACACACACACACACACACACACACACACACACACACACACACACACACACACACAAACACACACACACACACACACACACACACACACACACACACACACACAAACACACACACACACACATATATATAGTTACATACACACACACACAAACATTTGTGCGTCTATGTGCGTGTGTAAGGTGACGGTCCGACTTTGAATAAATGTAAAGCTAAACTACCCCATTGAGCCTTTCAGTAGTACATAAACTCGTCAAATATTCTCTGACACCCGAATGTTGACACTGTATCGAGCCGAGAAAAGGTAACAAGTCCCCGACAAGTTCCTAGGCAACAAAAGCTGGCGATGGAAATTCAATACGAGGAAGCGTTTTTGTGCGAGTCTGTGTATTATGCATCCATTATGTATGGCGTCGTTATTGTGTTTCTTGCCCTCCTCTTTTTTTGGAGGAGGACTCTGTTTGTTGGTTCGATTCTCTTTGAAGGGACTTCCGCATTACTCCAACAACTCGCTTAGAAATGAAAATGATTTTTATATCACCTTGATAACTCTTATAAGAATGAAGGATCTCCTTTTCATGTATGCTCCACGTTATCTTATTGAGTGAGGAATTTCATTATCAGAGAATCACATTGTCTTTCTTAGAGTCGGAAATTCGCCAGAAGCATGTGTCTCTCTCCTCACTTCTCGAGAATGCTGGACATTTAGCTCGCCTTTCACCAACGGCAAAAATGCTTCAATTCACATAATTGTAATTATGACTCGTCTCTTACAACTTGGGGTGCACAAAAGGGGAAATGCTTGTGTTAAAGAGTGAATGCTATTCATTAATTACTCTAGAACAGGAGTCTGTTATTGTAGGTAACTAGAAACAAAGGTGCGCGCGCGCGCGTGTGTGTGTGTGTGTGTGTGTGTGTGCGTGAGAGTGCGTGTGTGTGTTTGTACATATCAACCGAGATTGTAAACACGCAGTATATTAGTCCTGCAGAACACATATTCTCCAATTATATTTCTGATAAGTAATACCAACGCCAATAACAACAGTAACATTCATCTCAAAAATAAAATTCACATCTACAAGCATACCTCAGAGCCCCAGTAACAAGACAAACACACACATAAACAAACACTTCCACATCCGAATGAAAATCATAACACTACCGTTTCCTTCTGCAGGGCTGCTGGAAATGACAGTCAGGAACATGCTACTGTCTGAGCGGCACATAGAGGCCGCGCGGGTGCTGGTGAGGGATACCACGACGGGGACTTTGGTACGTCTCACGAGTACCCACCGCTCACAACCACATTACCCGCCCACCGAAGACCCGCCGAAGGTGAACACCACGACGGAGGCAAGTGCAGATCAGCTTTTTTTTCTTCCTTTTTGGGGGGAAAGGGAGAAAGGGAGTGACTGAGGAAGAGAGAGAGAGGGAGTGGAGGAGTGAGAAGGAGGAGAGAAGGAGGAAGATGTAGGGGAGGTAGAGGGAGAGGGAGAGAGGGAGGGAAATGAAGGGGAAGAGGGAAAGGGAGAGAGGGATGGAGAGGGAGAGGGAGAGTGAGAAGAGGATGGAGAGGGAGAGGGAGAGGGAGGGGAAGGGGGAGAGGGAGAGGGAGAGAGAGAGGAAGAGGGAGGAGAAGAGGAAGACGGAGAGGGAGAAGAGGATGGAGAGGGAGAGGGAGACGAAGAGGTGGAGGAAAAGGGAGGAGAAGAAGAGGGGGAAGAAGGAGAGGGAGATGAGGGAAAATAGAGAGAGAGAGAGAGAGAGAGAGAGAGAGAGAGAGAGAGAGAGAGAGAGAGAGAGGAGAGAAGAGAGAGAGAAATGAAAGAGAGATTTAAAGACAAATCTTTTGCTTTCCCTACCTTCCTATCCTTGGTTCCAACTGGAAACTGAAACCATACCGCCTCCAACATTTAATCAATCACATAACGAAATATGAACACTCACACTGTCATCCGAGACTTCACATTCAGTTCTAACCATTCAACTCCGCCAAACGAATGTAAACAAAGACTTATTTTCCCCTTTTCCAATTCTTACAGGTAACCGGTGTCGAATACCTCCCTTGGTACGAAGACGTCTACAATCAGACATGGAACTCAAGCAAATTCCAGGAGAACTTGAGCGACCCGGTGTTCATAGGGTGGTGGACATACCCATACTACCACTGCAACACCAAGCGATGGCTCCTGAGTTACACTGTGCCCCTGATCACTGACCTGATCTCTGGCGGAAACACCAACGTTAACACTGTGCCGAAAATCAGGTGAGGCGTTGAGGGCTTTGTGTGCTGTGTGGTGAGGAAAAGAGGAAAGAGAGAAAGGAGAAAAGGGAGGAATAGAGGGAAGGAAATTGATGATGGAGGGCCATGTCATATGAAGGAGAGTGGGAGGAAGAGAGAAAGAGAGAGAGATATTAAGAAGAGGAGACAGAGGCAGAAAGAAGGCCAGATAAATCATTAATAAACATACAAACTAAACAAACAGAAAGAAAGAGGGCAAAACATAGTCCCAAAAGGTCTTTCCGTGTGTATCTCGTCTAGAAATCCCCCGCTTTAGAATTCACTGCCTCAAGATCTCATCCCATAAAATAGTTCAAGTTAAGAGTCCAAGTCATGACCGGAGTGAACCCGAAGCAGGTACTCCCTAGTCGCCTCTCCACTCCAGCCGTCCAGATTGTTTATGGTCCATTCTGTTTATGACTCAAAACTTCTTGATTCCAGAAAATAAGAACGAAAGCAAAATAAGAAGTATCTGTTTGTTTGTCTGTTTCATCTTTTTATTCCTCTCTCTCTGTTCGAGTCTTGAGCATTCCCGGCCATTTTCCCGCGTGTTGTTGCGCCATTCGAGGCTGTAAATCTTACTTTAAGACCTCCTTGGACTCATGATCCCCATTCGCCCTCGAGTATCTTGAGGATCACGATCACCTCCTCGAATCCGATATTGAGAGTTATGTGCGCTGTCTGTGGGTAGCGGCGACAGGGGCGAGGTCTTAGTACTGGAAGTCATGTTAATTAACTCTCCTTTTTTGTCGTTTGCGATCATCGTTTTCGTGAACTGGGATCCGTGCTTGTTTAAGCGGTTGGGGTGTACACACGCGCGCCCTCATACACACAGATACACACACACGAAAACGCATCTAAGCCATCTCACGTTACGAGGAAGTCGTAATGATATACACTATTACGATCCATAACTCGGTAGTGCTCGTGCGTATTGCGATAGATCCTGGAGAGTAACAGTGTTTGAAACCGTAGAAAGTGACTTCACTCCATTTTGTAATATCAGCTACAAAAAAAAAAACAAAAACAATCAAGCTGATTGGAATGCATAATAGTAGGAATTCGTACATCATTTATAAATTCATGAACTCATACATACCCATACATATAAACACATAAAACATAAAATTCCTCTTCTCAAACAAACTTACAAATATACACATGTATAGTCACAGGCACATAATAAAAAATAAAAACATTTCAAATTTCAAATCTCTTAAAATTAGCCATATCGCGGACCATCTTCTTGAAGCAACTATGAGGAAGAGAGAAAAAAAATAATATATATATAAAACATTGTCAGCATCAGGCGTCCATAACTTCGGTGGAACAGTTTCTTAGCAAAACTTTCCTCGTAACTTGGAACGAATGGAGTGAAATCGTCGCATAAAGTAGGGGGAAAAATAAGAAAAAAAAAATACAGAGCTTCTTTAGCGAAAGCGATTATGAAAACTTTCACGTCCCTCATTAGACCAGAAGTAAGCAATGGCATATTTTTTCGGCAAGATCAGATACGTCTTTTCACTTGGTCATGATCAGTGGATTGGGTCGTTGATTAATAAGCTGATTTTAGATTGATAAAACAGTCAAATAGATAAGAGACGTTATAGATTCATGTGATAATGAAATAGGTAGTTTAGTGCTGATTTTAGATGCATTAATTTTTAATCAGTTCGATAGAGACACAGATAACAGATGAATAGGTTACAGGATCGTAAATTGTTTCAGATAATAAACATTATCATAAAAGCAAATGCATAAACCACTACCCTCTAACTCTATTTGTATAGGCAATCATTTTATCAAACATTAATCACTGAGAACGAACGATTCATTATGGTGACCAAACGTACTTATGAATATACTGTATGTAGATAAAGTCCTTTGGCTAATTTGCATATCTTCCGAAACTAGCTACAAGTTCCTTAATTAAGTCCTACACAGCGTTTCTAGTAATGCTAAAATTCTCCAGAGACTATTTTTTTTTCATTTCTCTCGTGCAGAAGTTGAGGAGCGCAGGTTGAATGTTTACCTTAGGGATATCCAGAAATGAAACCTGTCTGATTTCCTCTTCTTTTTGACGTTCTTTCTTACATACAAATCAGAGAGTCACACGCGAACGGCATAAGATAAAAATGAAAAGATATGAGAAGAGAAGGGAGGAGAGAAAAGGAAGACGGAAGATAAAGAGACAGTCGAGGATGTGTGTATATGTGGGGCTGTTTGTTTGTATATGTGTGTTTGTGTGAATTTTCCTTGTGTATTTGTTTGTATTTTGTCTGTGTGTGTGTGTGTGTGTGTGTGTGTGTGTGTGTGTGTGTGTGTGTGTGTGTGTGTGTATGTGTGTATGTATATGTGTGTGTGTGTGTGTGTGTGTGTATGTATGTATATGTGTGTGTGTGTGTGTGTGTGTGTGTGTGTGTGTGTGTGTGTGTGTGTGTGTGTGTGTGTGTGTGTGTGTGTGTGTGTGTGTGTGATATGTAGTAATTTTCTAAAAAAAATGTGAAATGTATTTACACCACAATGCCTGATATCAGTTTATCATAAACATAATTCGCATGCAACTGAAACCTCATAAACATTATTATTATTATTACCTCATCCATTCTCAAAAGCCTCTATTTTTCACTGAACATCCTTTTAACACAATTTATTACACACACACCCCACTTCACTCATTCCTTGTTCCTACAGCCAACCCTCCTTCATTTAACACACTTCAAGGCGCCCCTCACCACTCCCACACACCCTCATTAACATGGGAGATATTGCGTTACCAATTTACCTTATGAAAATCCATATGCAAACCGGCGGCAGGAACCAGATCCTTGGCGTACGTGTATGTTAATTATAATCTCCCCTCTCTCTCCCTCCCCCATCTCTCCCCCTTCCCCCTTCTGGCGGCAGTGACTTCGGGATGCTCAGCCTGGATGTGGACGTGACCTCCCTTGACATCAACCAGTGTGACCCCACCTACGACTCCGACGGACGGATAGTTGACCCGCCCGAGTCTCAGCTGTCCTACTTCCTCGGGACTCATAAGTGTGACAAGGAGTCGGCGAAGGTGAGTTTCGTGTGTGATTTCTGTTGCGTGTTGTATGGATGGTCAATGAATAATTCATGCCTAGTGAGTAATTTTCATTTTAAGAAGTTTTCAGAAATGCGTTAGCCAACAGATGGTTTTCATGGTTGCATTATGTGTATGATCTTTAAATCTTTTATTGAAAATGTTGTAATTTTCGTTGCAAGAAAGCAATACAATCAAAGAAACTTCTAAACATGTTACCATAACCCAAAACATATATCACACAAGGCTCACAGCGCTTAATGCACACCACTTCATATTTCCTAATACGGGGGAAAAATTGCTGGCCATGGCATATCCATTTCACGAAGCACCAAGAAGCCGCTGGAAGACCCCAGGACGAGTTCAGGCTAATGGGAAAATGCGGTACTGAGATGGAATCGTGGTCGGGGATTTGACTTCACTTCCTCAGAGACTTGGTGTAATGTGCTCAGTTCTCCAAACACGGAGAGGCTCAGAGGGCGACTTGGCCTTCCGCTGAATTACCCTTGAACTTATGAGCCAGTGCGTCCGATGCCACTACTTTAACCAGGAGGTCGTAGGATATCATAACGTGGAGGAGATTCATCTTGCGGAAACATTTAGTATAGTGGGGCTTGGGGTGAACGCGAGCTCAGCAGAGGGAGAATAGAGAGCTGGTGGGGGCAGAGAGAGAGAGAGAGAGAGAGAGAGAGAGAGAGAGAGAGAGAGAGAGAGAGAGAGAGAGAGAGAGAGAGAGAGAGAGAGGGAGAGAGAGGTGGGGGAGGGAGAGAGAGAGAGGGAGGGAGGGAGAGAGAGAGAGGGGGGAGAGGGAGACAGAGACAGGGCAGGG